TGGGAGTTTGAAGTCCACATGTCTTAAAGATACTAAAATTGGGAAACCCTGATTTAAACCATTAAAAAAAAACCAACCAACAACCTTATTTTCTAGTTGCAGTTTAACCTGAAATGCTTTTTCTTGCAATAATAGCACTGAGTTCTTGTACTTCCTTTTTCTCTGTTTTTGCAAATGGAAAAGGGAACTAAACAAACCATTAACTTACACAAGTCGAGATGCTATGAACCTGGGAAAATGTGGCAGCCCGAGGGAGGGGGCGGCTTGGGGACAGCAGTTGTCTCTTCCAAAACAAAGTCAACTGGGTCTTGTTATTTCACTCTCTTGCTATCAGGTGCGATGGTGAACTGCAGCAAGTACCAGGAGTCCTTTTTTACTAAATATTTCTTCAATCAGCTCAGAGAGACTCCATCGTATAGATTCTGCACAATCATCTCTTTTGGCTAATGAAGCTAGGCTTCTGCCCCCTTGCCAAACCCTCTTTGGTTCTTCCTGATTCACAGTGCATTGCCCTGGAATGGTTAGTGGCATTCTTCCTAAAATAATCATCAGGTATCAAATAAAGAACCACGTTGTGATTTTTGTGTTACACATGAATTTTCAGCCTCTTAAAAGAAGTTCTCACTTTTCCTTCCATGTTGGCTTTGGAAGATTAAAAATTGAAGATCCAACAGCATGATGGCAAGTTTTCATCTGTGCTACTAAATCAATATTCTCGTCCATACATGTTTTAATAGCAAGAATGGAGAATTATAAGGTTAACCTAGTCATTTTCCAGATACTTTAAGTCCACTGTGGGGACTTCTGCTTCCCTTTATTCTACCCATTGGCCACCAGATTCTTTTGCCATCGGAATATATTCATTCATCTCTTACTCTGGGAAATGTGAATTATTTCTCTGCTTTACCTAACATTTAATTTGTTCTGTGGCAGCAGAGTATGCCTACTCCATACACCTGATAGACAGGCAAAATAACTTTTCAAATTATGCAGCTGTGTTAGATTTTGTGTCATACAACACACATTTGTTTGCATTCTTTTGTTGGAGTGCTCTTGATTTCTTGTTTGAGAATTTCATTTTGTGCCATTGCAATTAATACTATAGGATGAGGTCTGATTCTAGTGTCCTTTGGAAACTTGGCTACCAGTTTCCAGGTAATAATAGCCTGATTTGTGAAAAGCAAAAATGAGCCAAATAAATTTGTGATATCCGCTCAGGGGATATAAAGTCATCTTCTTGAAACACATAATTTATCACACCAGATATTTAAACTGGCATTAAAGTGATGGAATTAAACTATTTTAGATTTCAAATGTCTAGAAAAATGATTTTTATAAGTAGAAAGAGTGAAGGTGGGCGGTATATAAATTAAATCAATAAATAAAAAAATATTTTTTTAAAAAAAGAAACACCTAATAGGTGTTTCATACAGAATTACAATTCATTCTGAACTCATTTCATCTTAAACAAAAATAATTGGTCAATATCCTTGCAGATAGTTGAACTATGGTCAGTATGCTGATGATATCCATTATATATATCCCAAGCTGACCCAGTGATGCTGTCCAGGTGTTGGTTCAGCACTTGGAGGCTATAAGCATTTGGAGAAGGATGAATTGGCTTCAACTCAACCTAGAAAGCTAGAGTGGCTCTAGTTTTTTAATCCTCTTGGTTCTGATGAAGTATCATCTTTGACTCTTGCTGGTGCAAAACATGGATATGTTCCTGGACTTGGGATCCTGCTCAAGGAGCAGCTGGCAGCTATGACTCAGGAAGTCTTTGCACAGGTTCATCTTGTGCACCAATTGCGCCCATGCCTGGACAGGGAGGCCTTGCTCACGGTCACTTATACTTTGGTCCCTTCCTGGCTAGATTACTGCAACACACTCTACCTGGGGCTGCCCTTAAAAGACCACACAAATTACAACTAATGCAGAATGTGGTGGCCCACATAGTTCTGGGTGCCCCACAATTAACCCATGTTACCCTATTGCTGGGGAAAACTGCTCTGTCTTCCGTTTTCTTTACTGATGTTATTCAAGGTGTTGGTTACCATCTTTAAAGACCTAAATCAGTGTTTCTCAACCTTGACAATTTTAAGGCATGTGGACTTCAACTCCCAGAATTCCACAGCCAGCATTGCTGGCTGTGGAATTCTGGGAGTTGAAGTCCACATGCCTTAAAATTGTCAAGGTTGAGAAACACTGACCTAAATGGTCCAGGGGCAGATCATCTACAACAGGGGTGTCAAACTGCCGGCCTGCAGGCCAGTTTCATCATACCGAAGCCTCACCCACCCCATTGCTGGCAATGCAAAAAGAGTCGCGATACATCGCGACACGTCACGTGACGTGGTGAGTTTGACACCCGTGATCTACAAGATTGCCTCTCCTTGAGAGTATCTGTCCATTCCACTAAGTATGATCAGGTGGATGTCCTTAGATCCCTTTCCTCAAATGTTGCCATCTAGTGGGACCTAGGCAATATGCTTTCTCAGTAGCTGTCTCTGTCCTTTGAATATTCCACTGAAGTCTGGCAGGCTCCAAGTCGTCCAAAAGCCGTGATAGCCTGGTTTTCTCACAAGGACGACTTTGGAGCCCAGAAAGGTTTTTGTATGTGTGTATGTATTTTTGGGGGATGTATGGAAGTTGGGGGCACTGGGAGTTTTCAGTAGGTAGACTTCACTTACTGCTTTGTTTAGTAACCATTCAAAGTTATGACAGTGTTGAAAAAATAATTTTACAACTAATGACCTCACTGACAAGCTTAGCAGTGTTCCTCAGTCACATGATCTTCATTATAGTCCATACTCAATGTACTGTGCTGGACCTGTTTTGCTCTCCTCAACTGCCTTGCTGAGCAGAAAGATTGGAGAGGAAGAGATTAAAAGAGAATAAGCAGGCACACAGTGAGGAATATACCGGGCCACGTGAGTGGCAAGCTTGGACTGTGGGTGCCAACACATTGCTCTAAATGAATTTTCCTCATTGTGTGCCTTCTTACTCTCTTATACTTTCTCATTCTCCAATGAATATAAATACAAACATTAATTCCCTTCTTGCTCATTATCCCAGCACCATGCATGGGAGTGAGCATCCCAAAGGGTGGGAGAGTGGGGAAAAGAAAAGCACTGTCATGTGATTTCCCACTTAGCAGCCACTTCACTGGAGCACAGTGGCTCAAGTGGTTGGAACCCTGGGCAGAAGGTTAGCAAGCCCGTGTTTGAGACTTGAGAGCTGCCGTGAGGAGGGTTATGCTCTTGTCCTTCACTCCAGCTCCTGCTGGGGACATGAAAGGAGCCCGCAACTGGCTAATCCTTTCAACCTGGAAGGCCCTCCGTGCTTCTGACTCAAGTGCAAAGCCACTTAGCTTAATGACAGAACTGCCGATCCCCAATTGTGGTCACTAGAATGAGGAATACCTGTATTGATTTTTAGTTTTGTTATGGTTTTCGTCACTATTTGTGAGCTGTCAGGTTTATGTGGATAATATCAGTTGCTATTACATTATTAAGAAAGATGGCACTTGTGGATGAAAAAAGGCTGAGGTCTGGCTTCTGGTTGAGATAGACTCCGTGGCTCCTGAAGAACAAAACAGTTCTGGAATTGCCAGAGGATTATTTTAAAGGATCCTTTCTCTAAATCCCTGCAGCATTCTAAAACACAAGACCCTTACCCCATTTCTGAAAAGTATAGCCTTACAAAACAATGTTCATGGCTTCACTTCTTCTTTCACAAACAGATCCATTGGTGGACGAGACTATAATCTAGCAGGACTCCTGCTGATGTCTGAAGGCAAAGTGGCCTTCAAACATCAATTCCTTGATTCTCCTCTCTTCAGCAGCTCCCGGAGCCACTTTTCATGCTCTGCTGGACGTCTGCCAATTTTCTGGAGCAAGTTTTTTGTGGGGAGGGGGGATCGTTAAAGGGAATGTAGGAGAAAATTGCCTCTTTGACATAATGTGCATGGGACCCTGCTTGCTGGATCTCTAGATCTAACTCGTCATATCAATGATGCCTCTGTCTTTCAACAAAGGCATGCATCGTACAAAGCATGGATTGTGACATTTGATGAAAGCTAAGCTCTCGCTAGCCCTATCTAAAGGTAGCAAAATTAGAGTTTGAAGGCTCCCCGCCCCCAGTCAAGCTTTAAAATGTGTTGCTTGATAATGGGGACCTGAAATAACCCCTAAGGTTTTTTTTTTTTTGGTTGGGTTTTGTTTTCAAGTGTGTTCTTGCTTAAGGTTTAATTGGCTCCAGGCAGTAGGAAAGGGCTCCAAGACTGATTATTTATGGCTTACTGTCAAAAGGAGCTATTAAAAAAGGGCAGTATTATCTTGGAGATGTTGGGAAGCAGAGCATGGTGGGGGGAACATGTGTGTGTGTGTATAGGAGTGTGTTTTCTTGTACTGGATAAAATCAGTTTTGCTGTCTCAGCAGTGTGGTTTAAATTGAAGATTAACCCTTTGACCTTCACAGTGTCAAATCACTTACAGATGGATCACCAGCTACACTTCTCATCTCCCCCCTCCCTTCCCCCCTCTCCTGTGTTTGCTGGAGGAGGGGGGCACTCTCCTTTAGGAAAAAAAAGAGGGGGGAGAAGTTGTTTGTTCTTGCAGCTGGGCTATGAGACACTCAGAAGCCAATCTGATTAAAAACAGCACTTGGCTAAACTCTGCAGAATCCTGCAAAAAAAAAAAAGGGGGGGGGTTAATCCTTTTGTGCACAATACATAAAGGGTCTGCTTCTTTCTTTCATAATATTGGAGCAACAATTATTCCTAGAGAAACTACTACTAGTCACACACACAAATACCCTGGGGCCAATGCTTTTTTTCTTAATATTTGTAGTATTGCTGGATTAAAGTGCCCGTTCTTAAAAATATAACTTAATTTTTATTGGGACAAGTTAACCTTTTGAATGGTAGCTTTAACATTTTATATGAGTAATCTTGTTTAGACCTTTTCTCTCCCCCCCCCCCTTTTTTTTTTTTTTTACAGCACCAGCAGAACAGAAATCAGGTCTGGTGGCAGATCCTTCTCTTCCTCCACAACTTGGCCTTGAACGTGGAAGCAAACAGACAACATGTGGGTCAGAGGTGAGATCTGCCCTGCCTCTTCCAGGTTCCATCCAGTCTGCTGGGAGCACTGAACAAACCCAGGTTACAAATGCACGTGCCACTGGACAGATGTGAGGTTCCTGTGGACCTGAGGGTGCTTGTTGTACAAAAGACTTGTTTTCAATGGACTTGCCTTCTGACTCCCTTGTCTTCTGTGGTGGGGAGCTTTGGTCCAACACTGTTGAAGAAAGATCTTCCCAAGTTGTGTGGCTTATAATCAAGGTGCAAGGAGGAACTAATGTAAGGAAACTTTGGATGAGTTGGTGATGGACTGTTGGTGATGTTCTGGGTTTGAGGTTTGGGGCAACTACCAGATTCCTGATCAGTAAACTTTGAAGAAACTCTGTAAACAGCAACTGTGAAGCAGCATATAGAGTATGTACAACTGAATCCTAACATTTTAAATAATGGAGATACTGGCGTAAACAAGGAGTGAGTCTTGAATACGTAATAACACACAATCATTACACTCAGGAACATATAGGCTCCCCTCCTGTCTTTCAACTCAAGTCAGGAAAATGAAATATAAACAGTACTTTCTTATCAAATGTAACTTTCTTTACTACTCTAAAGCTGTAATCCTTGTACTAATAAGCCATTATCCAAACAATAGGATTTCTTAGATTACTTCCCTAAGGAGAGAAAGAAAAGTTTGTCCTTGGAGAGAGAAATTCAGCCTCACAAGGATTTCCCCTAAAGCTGCAAACTGCCTGCAGTTGGTACTGTGAAGGCCGGGATGGGGGTGGGGGAGGGGGGGTGAGTCGCTAGTAGAGGCCCTGCTTTCCACTGTCCTCATATGCCAACACGCCTCTAAAATGGGTAGGATCATGGCAGCCTGGAGCTTGCACCATCCTTTTTCTTCCCCACTGGAATCATTGGGAGGGACAAGGAAAGAAAAACCCTCTTTTGGGAGGATCCAGCTGACATAAGCCGTTAGAATTACAGAAGCAGCATTCAGCTACCTTGGCTCCTCTCTTTTCTTAAGTCTAAACATCTAACAGAATTTGTTTAACTTAGCAGAGAAAAGTGCCTTAATTTTACATAAACTCTCATTTATGATCGTATTCAATATCAGAGATGGAACCACAAACTACTGAATGCCCCATGCTACGTATTTTTCTTTTGCCGTTTAGAAAAAAAATGGAAGCAAAGAAAATCATAACATATTGTAGAAAGTAAAAGGAATGGTTTTTATTGCCTGGCCATAGGTAGAGGGGCATCAATCCAAAAGATTTTGAAAGGGCTCTGCCCCCTGGTTTCAGGCTTCTGGACTTTTCAGTTGTAGGGCAAGTGAGAAGCAAGTTGAATTAGAAGGCTAGTTATGCAAAGATTTGGCTATACTTTTTTTTGCAAAAGACCTACCTTCCAAAGTGCTCTCCTGAAGACATTTGCTATTCTGAACTATGTAGCAACACTTTCCCACTATCTTAAGAGGCAGTATTCCTACTCTAGGTGTTTTTAAGATTTAGAGTCAGAGGTCACACAGCTTGGGTAACCTTAAGTGCATTTATGGTTTTGCCTTCATGGCTTTAGCATGTTGTCCAGATCTAGTCAGTTTGGTTAGTTTGTGCCTCATTGTATTTTGGGGACCAAGAAAATGGACTAATACAGGAATGCTATTGCGTGATTTGTGTTTAGTACTTCTTCCCAAAATAGCTGTAACGAGACCCTCTCTAACAGTATGGCCTTTTTATATATTGGTTTTTTTTAATAAAAACAACATGAATTAACAGTATCAGTATTGTTTAAATATTTCCCAGTGTGAAGGAACAAATAGTTCAGACAAAATTTTATTCAAAAGTTTCTCATGCTTCTTACATTTTTAATTTCATCTTTTCGGAGAGGGGTTTTAGGGTTTAGCAAGCAGCTTAATCTCAGACATTTGTGTCTCTGTGCTAGATTTCCTTCCAGCTTTGCCACTGTGTCTTTGCTAAAAGTCTTTGCCCCATCTGGCCTAATTCTGGAACTGTAGGCTATTTTTTCAGCATTTCTGTAGTGTAGTGAGTTGAAAACTTGCTGCTCAGAATCCTGGACTGAATCCAGCTTTTGACCTCTACAAAAAGAACAGATTTCTTTCATAGTAGATTCTGGTTAATGGATCATTCCTGCTGATAGAATGAAGGAAGAGGTGATTTTTGATTTCTCTAAATTGTGGGAAATTGTGGGGTTTTAGGACAATGAAGAAGATGATGTGAACCAGAACCCTCTAATGGAATTCTGCTTAGGGAGGTCCTGCTGGATCCAGACTCCTATTTCCATCCCCTTGAAAGGAATCTATCCCAAATCCATCTCCCTGAGAGATTATAATTTTCAGATGTGAAAATGGATCACCTGGGACTGGGTCCACCAAGTCTGGTACCATTTAGATGTGCTGAGGATTCAGTTCACTAATTCTCAGCCAGCAGGAGGGCAACAGATTGAGAAAAGCTGACTTAAACGAAGTGGCTCCAAGAATCGGAGTTTCTGAGTCAAGTCTGCAATTCTAGCCATATGATTATTATGTTCCCATGTTATACCTTCCTTGACTCAGACAAATAATGTCGCTGACCATTACTGCATCGTGGCAGATAAAAGTGGAAGATTATTTCTTTGAACTTTAATGGGCCAGTTTCATTTTTGATAGCTCCTTGTGATGCTCCTCCTCCTCCTGATCAGTATAAGGAATTTTTAGCCCTTCTGCCACAAGAGCAGATTGTCTTATTTAACACATGACCTACATACCCATCATCAGTTTGGACACAAGGCAGAAATCTGAAGCACAAATCTTTATTGTGTTATTCTCTGCAGCGGACCAAGCAGTAAATACGTGCTGGAGAAATAGGGCATATTAGCAGATGCATGTTGCCTTTTACACAATTCTTTTTGTGTGAAGACTAGAAGTCCCAATTAGGACCTTTAAGAGTTTTACATTGTGTCTTTTTAATCTAATAAATAAATACTGTTGAACATTGGTTCCCTCCTCCCCACTATTACCAATGCTTAACTATACTAAAAAGTTATAATAATAAATTTGTATCTATTTTAAATGTATAATCAAGAACAGAACCTGTAATGGGGCTGACCTGGTTAAAAGGCATAATAGCTTCATCCCACCATACATAATTAAATAATGTGTTCTATTTCTGTAGGAGGACCTGGAAAGCTTATTTGAATTTTAGATTTTTCATATCCTGTAGAAGAGAACAACTTGCTTAAAATCTAGCAATAGAAAATTAGCATGTAATAATTTCTTACCTCCTCTGGCTTCTTGTGACCATTTGGTATCCTTATCTCATGTATTCTAGCTGGACTACCCCCTTGATTTAATGACAATAAATTCTGTGAATCTTATTAATAATACAAACTGATGTTGCTTATGAGTCCCAAGGTTTTGGAACTCTTAATTTTTGAATGGATAGATTGATAAAATCAGGGCCAGCTTAGGACATCTAAACTTTCTCTAAAAGAATACTTCCATTTTCTGAAGTTCATCAATTAACCCTTATGGAGAGGGCTCTTCTCTCATGATCATTTAATTCAAAATAAGCAAGAGTCCTTGGCTTGGGGTGGGAGTTTGCTTTGTACCACTAGTTTACACAGTTGTCTTTTCTCCTTAGTGGCTCTTTAGCAATAGAAAGAAAGTCTTAACCATGATAGAAAGAGTTCCCAATAACCTGCAACATTATCTGAGGCACTACTACCTCAGTAAAATGTTGCAAATGAGGCAGAGCAATTTTACAGCAAAGGCTTCCACTGAGAAAGGAATTTTCTTTTTTACTATCTCTTTCTCCTCAGTTCAGCTGGTTCTTTGTTAATCCTTTTTAAATCAAACTTTCCTTGGCTGCATTCTCTCCAGTAATAGTGCTTTTGCTGCAGTTCTTGGAAACTGAGACAGCAATCATAACAAACTGTACTGCCTGAGGTGACTTCCAGCTGCCAAAAGCCAGGCCAAGGTGGGGAGAGAATAGAGGAATGGTCTTAAGATAAAGACCCTGAGGATAAAGACCCTGGGGACACTGGCTGATTGTCCTGGGTTGGGGTTTTGTTGTGCAACTTCTGTGTCTGTAGATGTAGCTGCTGTTTTCTTTCAATTGTGTGGATTTTCCTTTATTCCATGGCATTGTGTTCCCCTATTGTACCAAATCTGCTTGTCTTGTTCTGCCAACTTAAGCGGCCTGTTGGCAGCAAGTTCTTGTCAGTGTTCCCAAAGGCTGGAATTCTCATTTTTGAAGACTTTTACTAGTCTCTTCACCTACTTGCAGGCTTTGGTTATATCAGCCAAAGAGGGTGATCTAACATCCCCATAGAAAACCGTATCTGTGACTTTGCTTTCAAACACATTGGTCTTGGATTTTATTTTGTTCCTTTAGGAATTAAAATTGTCTGCTGGCATTGTGACCAAACCCTAGATACGCAGGGATACTGTTGTCATGTAACAGTGAGCTTGAATTAATTAACTCTAATCGCTATTTGGTACAAATAAGGACATACACAACAGGAATTGCAACTGTAACTGAGATTGGCCACAAACTGACAATCCCATCCTATAGAAAAGCCTGGGAAAGGCATTAATCACGCAAAAAGTAGAGTCAGACGTGCCTTGCAGAATGCAAAGACGGAAAGGCTTTTCTAAAGTCAAAGAGAGCTATGACATGGGACATGCATTTATTCCAGTGCTTCATATAAATTACCCAAGGGCTATAAACAGAGTGGACAACAATTAGTAGATTTAACTGGCTGTGATGAATTAAAGAAAGGAGTCCTTACAAACACCACAACTATTGTTGCTATAACTGCACTGTCATCTCAAATTGTCTTGCTGCAGTGTGGCACACGGGAAGTTTCTTTATACTGGTTCAGAACAACAAATAATCTAACGGCTAGGCCACAGACACCAACCCAGCCCTGTTTTCCTCCAGTATCCTCTCCCAGTTATGTTGTCAAAATTAGAAGGTAAATGCAGGGAATCAAGGACATTTTCCCCCTACTTTTTATTTTTGGAAAAATAGCAACTGAAGAAAGCCCTTGAAAACTACAATGCATGATGTCATCACCATGCCCTGAGATCCTCGCAGGGTTTTTCTTTCCTTTCTTTTCTTTTTTTAAAGTAGATTCCAGTCACAAAAGATTGTCTGAACCTGGTCTACAATGCTTATCTGCAGCACTGCCAAACCTTCAGACAGATATCCCCCTTTTACTATCCCAGAGATCTGATATGGGACCATTGGAGTAGGACTCCAATATCCTTGCTAGTATTTGTTAACCTCCCCAGTAGATGAGTCAGCTGTAGCGTTGTTCAACCACCCTCCCTGAATGCAGGCAAGTAGCTGGGGCTGGAGACCAAAAAACAAGCAAGGCTCAAGGAAGCACCCTTTGGAAGCTGGAGTTGATGGGTAGGGAACAAAAGTAAGGTTTGTGTTATGCTC